TGCCAACCAAGCCTTGAGTTCTGGGTGCAGTGCCTCTTGATCTTCACATTTTATACATTCCCTTGTCGATCCAGGCTTCTTGGTCCCAGAGGCCATCTTTCCATTGCCCACTTTGCTAGGATCTCTGTCCTCTCCCAGAGCTCACAGGCATCCATCAATGTCAGACAGTAGGAATCCAACATCAATGTAATGGTCTTGTCTCTTCTAGAGAGCCTGTCTCCCTTTTGATAGAAGCTTCTTCATGCCCTAACTCAAAGGTTTAGTTCAATTCCCATTTGGAAACACAAGGATTTATGGGTACTTCAACATGAGCTATCAACTGAGACATTACTTAAACCTTTCATATGATGCTCAGAACAAATCTACGAAATGGGTCTAATTGTCTCCCTTTTAATATGGAGAGTCCAAACTTGAAAGACATTCAGATGTTTAGATTCCTTTCCATACTCTATATGACAGCCTTCATTTTCTCCACAATGCCTGTGCTGTGCCCTGGTATATTCCAGCTTTGTTTAAGTCTAGGCCACTGTTAAATGAGGCAAGGCCATTGCTTTTGATTCAACTTCAGCAAATCTGATGATACACACCCTACACACTGGCCTCAGGCTTGGCTTTGTGTGATGCTCATAGCGTCCCTGTGATGGACCTCTTCCATCCAAACTTTGCAACCCAGATGTGCAGTGGTGGGAGAAGGCATGCAATGCCAAAGACAGCCGCTCTACAATCTTCCTAGCCTGTCAATTTTATTTAAATACCATTTTATAATGCCCTCTTAAGCACATTCAGGCAATTTCCCAGCAGGCTTCCTGGCCCCACCCTGGGGCTCTGATCACTCCTGGCACCTGGGCTGTTGGTCCCGCCACCTGCCTTGGGCAGCTGGAAGCCCTGAGATCCAGCTGCTCCCTGCAGGTTGGCATGCAAAGATTAGATTCCGCCAGACAGAAAGTGCTCTGTTCTCTTGTGACGTGTCTGCACCTGTGAGAGGGTTTCTTGAAAAGTGTTTGCTTCCCCCCGCGGGGCCTCCTGGGTTTCCGCAGTCTCTCAGTGTGTGTAGTGTAAGTTCCTGCCAACCTCCTAGGACATCCTGGGGCCCTGGTGTTTGACTGCTAGGGAGATTCCCCTGCTACCCCATTCCCCCAAGGAGGAGGTGGAGGTGCCAGGACCTATGTGGACCGGCTTCTCCTGGCTCCTTGCAAGAGCTTCAAAGGCCCCTCCTCAGCTGTGGCCTGGGGCAGGAACACAAAGGGCAGCCTCCCCACCCCCACCATTGTCCAAATATGTAAGTCACAGAGCAGGTTGGCAAACAGTGTGTGAATGCGCTTTTATCTCCGACTTGGACAAGCACACATTCACAAAGACCTCTATAGGTCAGGCCCAAAAGCAGATTTCTCAGTTCCACATTGAGCATGTGATATGCGCAGTGCTGGCCTCTGGCCTCCACACTGCAACCGGAGCCCTTCTCTTCCCACTGGGGCTCCATCCTGCACACACACAGGAGTATGTTGTACACTGGCCTTCATGTCCTTGCACCTGCTCCAGAGGCCTGCAGCAGCGCAGACCCTCAGTGTAGGCCAGTCGGCAGAGAATGGACCCTGATAACCTAGCCACTCAGAGAATGCTCTGGGTGGGCACATTCATTTGGCACATTGGATTTAACAAGCTGGAAGTAAAGGGCCGGTGTGGGCCACAGCCCGAGAAAGGTAGAAGCAAGCCCAGAGCCAGGGTCCCTTTTGCCTCTAAGAATGCTACTGTTTACAAATGAAATCTTTCTAGCATATTCCACTGTGCTGCTTCTCCTACGCTTTTAAAATTTTGTACTTAAAAGTTTCTTCAGAGCCTGGCGCAATAGCCTACTGGTAAAATTCTCACCATGCATGCACCAGGATCCCATATAGGTGCCGGTTCTAATCCTGGCAGGCCTGCTTCCCATCCACCTCCCTGCCTGTGGCCTGGGAAAGCAGTTGAGGACAGCCCAAAGCTTTGGGACCCTGCACCTGTGCAGGAGACCTGGAAAACACTCCAGGCTCCTGGCTTTGGATTGGCTCAGTTCTGGCCATTGTGGCCACTTAGGGAGTGAATCATTGGACGGGAGATCTTCCTCTCTGTCTCTCCTGCTCTCTGTATATCTGACTGTCCAATAAAAAATAAATCTTTTTTAAAAAAGTTTCTTTAAAAGATGTTTTATTCTCAAACATTTCAGATTTACACAGAAAATGCATCTTCACTTACTTTGTATCTTTACATATAAGAGCATGTATGCAGAGACCCATGGTAGCCTTTGAACCATTGAAGAATAAGGTGAATGGAGACAGTATGAATCTTTAGCTCCTTCAGGGTAGACTTTCTGTGGCAAGGATACTCAACTACAACACAATGATCAAGATTGGGGATTTTAATATTAAAAGAAATAGATTACCTATCATATGATCCTGACTCAGATTTTACCAGTTGTCCAAGTATGGTTCTTCATGACAATTAAAGCAGGTGGCATTTAGGTGTTCTGTGTCTTTAAGCCTCTTTAATCTACAACTCCATCTGTCTTTGCTTTTTATGATGCTAATATATTTGTAGAGTACAGGTGTGAACTTGTAAAAATACCTATTTGGTTTTCATCTCATTTTTTGCTATCTTCAAACTGACCAGGTGCTTCTTCTTCTTTTTTTTTTTTTTTTCCTTAAGGTGGTCCTCAAGAATTTATTGTTTGCCTTGGGCCAGTAGATAAGCAAAGCCTGAAGCAGCATAGAGGAGAGAGGTTTTTGCTGGAGGCAACACATATCCTTCCCCGGTCTCACTTTCTCCTCTCTGTCTGTAAAATCCCTCCATTTGCTGCACAACCTGCCCCGTGTGAGCACATGGTAATAACTCTACAGGCAAAGTTAATTCTGCTGAAGTGAACCACCTGTTAAGTATACATTCTAGTTGTAAGAAAATTGTAGTCATTTTGCTCCTTTGCAGAAATGGCGTGTTAGGACCCAAAGAGTAAGAAGACAATTCCCACAATCAAAAAGTAGAGAATCTAACAGGAAGAAAGCAGAGAATAGGGTTGTGGCGCTTACACTAGAGAATTGGGAGGTTGGCATCTTGGTGAAAAGGTTAAGCTGCTGCTCCAGACTCCAGCATCTTGTATCAGAGTCCTGGTTCTTTTGTATGTTAATGAATATTGACCAGTGTCTGACAGCCCCTAGGCAGTTTCAGGATAGGGACGGGTCACCTCCAAGACCAAGGCTAGCTTAGAGGATCAGGACTTTCACATCCATTACCCAATCTCCACAGAGGGTGCTGGGCTAGAGGTTAGTTTGGCCAGTGATTCAACTGATCATACTTATGTAATGAAGCCTCTATAAAACCTGCACGCTGGGATGGGGAGAAGTTTTGGGTAACTAAATACACTGAGGGTAGTTCCCAGAGAGGCCACGCCCCTTCCTCTGAGCCTCCGCCACTGCATCTCTGTTTTCATTTGCTTATGGTAAACTGGTTAAGTGTGTGTTTTCCTGAGTTCTGTTAGCCACTGGAATACCTGAACTCCAGAAGGGAGTCATGGAAATCTGGTTTATTATTTCTTCCATGCTGAAGGACAGGTAAAAGTCCTGAGGTATGTGATGGGCATCTGCAGGGGACCAAGTGGACAATCTTGGAGCCAGAGCCCTCAGCCTGTGGGATGTGACACCATCCCCTGACAGATAGCATCATAACCAGATTGAATTCATCCCATTGCAGAATGAGGTGAGTCAGGGGTTGGTGGGAAGCCCTGCATATCTGGTGTCAGAGATGATTCATGGAGTGCGTAGAGTAGGAGAAACTGTCACAGAACAGGTTGGTGTTTTTCCGTGTGTCCCTCAATTTGTGTTTGTCTGATGTTGACTGCTGATTAGGTTCTGGTCATGTGTGCAGGGCAGGAACGCTTCCTGAGTGATGTGTGTGCTCTTGGTGATTAGCATCAGGGGGCCCATGATGTCAGTTTGCCCCATTAGCCGTTTGCCTGCTGATTTGTATGTGACGTTAAACCATAAACACATCCTGTCTCATGAAATTGTTTGGAAATATGCTTTTCAGGGAGGGAATTTAGCATAGTGACTGAGAAGCAGGTATGTCCTGTATCAGAATCCATGGTTTCAATTCCTTCCTCTGGCTCCTGACTGCAGCTTCCTGCCAATGCCAGGTGGGAGGCAGCACGTGATGGCTCCACTAATCAGGTTTCTGTCACCTGTGTGGGAGAAGGACTTGGGTTCCTGGGTTGGACTGCTGTGCAGCCCCAACCAGTGCAACCAGCAGAAAAAAGATCTCTCTCTCTCTCTCTCTCATTCTCTCTCTCTCCTCAAGTTAAAAAAAAAAAAAAGCTTTATCCTTTCTTATAATTGTTTTTCAAGAGCAATATTATTTAGTGGATACATACTGCAAAGCCACATTTTGTTTTAAATTTCCTAATAGACCAAATTAATTTCAGCAATACATTTTTTAACCCACATATCCGAAGTATTATCAGTTGAACATGCAATCCATAGTAAAAAATAGCAAATATAATATATTTATACATATAAATACAAATACAAATGCTCACCTTGCAAGCCCAGGATCCCAGATGGGTGCCAGTTCTTGTCCTGGCTGCTTCATTTCCATCCAGCTCCATGCTTGTGGCCTGGGAAAGCAGTAGAGGGTTACCAAAAGCCTTAGGACCCTGCACCCATGTGGGAGACGCGGAAGAATCTCCTGGCTTCCCATTGGCCATTTGGGGAGTTAACCAACGAATGCAAGATCTTTCTCTCTGTCTGTCCTTCTCTCTGTAAATTTTCCTTTACAAGAAAAGTCAATAAATCTCTTAAAAATATTTTAAAGGTTGTATGAAAAAAAATCCAGAAAATCTATAAAAAAAAAAACGAATATTAGATTATAGCAAATATAAGTGAAAACAAAGGAGACAGAATTTCAGATAGGTCTACTGTCCCAGAGGCCCTGGAGAGCACAGCAAAGCCAAGAAGTAGATAACTTATAAAGAAACTTTAAAATAAATTTTGTAACTTTGTATATTTTTAAAAGTGTTCTATTTTCCTTTTTACAAACCCTCGTGTTGAGGGCTGTCTTCCAGTAGACTGCAGTGAAGGAGCTGCTCTGCAGCATACCAAACCCTGACCCAGAAGGTGGTTGTCTATGAATGGCTTAGTATAAAGAAACATTTTTTTTAAACAAAATTTCTTTCTTTATTTGAAAGGCAGAGTTATAGAGAAGCCCAGAGATGGCCTCACTGGTCAAGGTTGGGCCAAGCTGAAGCCTGGAACCTGGCATTTCACCTCAGTTATCCATGTGGGTGACAAAGGCATAAATTATTGCACCATCCTCTGTTACCTTCCCAGGTATATTAGCAGAGAGCTGGATGGGATGTAGAACAGCTAGGGCTCAAATCAGTGCTCATATGGTATTTCGGTGTTATATGGTAGAGGTTTAACTCACTATACCACAACTCCAATCCAGGAAAGAAATCCATAAACTCTGAGCAAGACAGAAACCAAAATCTTACATCTAGAGACATTACACAAACTTTTGAAGGATTGAAAGAGTCATGGATGAAAGAATGAAAAATCAGTCCAGTATAAGTCTTCTCCATAGCAGCAATGAATGCAGAAGAAAATGTACTTGACATTTAGTAGAAAACTGTTCATTTTTATGCAAGAGATAATGCCAGTCCCACCCACCCCATTCCCACAGCCTGTCAAAGTTAATGGCAGCAAGGTATTAAAACTTAACTAACCTCTACTCTCTGCCTGGTTGTTCCTCTTCTGGGGGGTCCCTTCTTGATAAAAACCACCACTTTATATCTGGTTCCCCAATTCAGAGTCACCAATATCAACTCCCCTTAGCTTTAGTGTTCAAAGCAACACTGATTCCCATAGCTTTGACCTTTTAAAACTTCAAGCAATTGTTCTTCACTTCTCACTCAGCGTTTGTCCTCTGGATTACAGCAAGAAGGTAACATTAGACTCTAGTCTCTCTTCCACCAAGCTGTGATGCTAGGGCTGGAGGAAGATCTAGCTCCCACACTCATGCAGGCATTTATACCCTGAAATTAATGCACAAGACTGTGGACACTTAATCCAATTGTGGTATTTAATGGACAATTCTGTGGGAGCTCCTTATGTCACCAATGAGCATGAGTTAAAGAAGATAGTTCTTGAGAGAGGGTCTGTTATAAAAGCTGAGTTGAGCCCCCCCTCCCTCTCTCTCCCTCTCCTCCTTCCCTCCCTTCTTCTCTCACTCTCCTTCCTCTCTCCTCCATATCCAGCTGTGTGATCCTCTGCCCAAGCCCCACGCTCTAACATTGCTACCTTCATCACAGATGAAAGCAATAGGATCACTCAATATTGAACTTGAACCTCCAAAAAATAAATATAAATACAAATGCACATTTTTATGAAGTTAGTTTCTTCAGCTATTTTCTTATAACAATGGCAAGCTAACAGAGTGACCATTTAAAAAATATCACCTGCTTACAGACTTGCAATGATCCTCTCCAGGTTTACAGTGAGCTCTGGAGTCTTCCGTGTAGTGCCTAGACACTGCCATCTGGCCAGCCCAGAATCTGTGCCTCTTCAGCCTTTGCTTCTTGATGGGGCTCTTCGTAGCTAGTGGACACATCATGCTGTGTAATTCCTTGATGCATCTGCACGTGCTACTTTGTTTTCCCATCAAATGAATCACTACTTGGTCTTCATGCTATAGACATCGTGATTCAAGCAGCATCTTTTCTGTGACACTTTCCCTGCTTTATTTCACTTAAACCAGTACCCAGGGATCCAGAACTCACACTCACCATTTGTATGGAAGAACAATTTGTGGAGCTTTATTCAATGTCAAGTTTGTGCAAAGAGTATTGGGGATATAGAGCTTCCCTAGCTTCTCTGAACAACTTGACAGTTTGATTGGTACTCCCAAAAGGCAAAGTATGGTGGGGTTCATGCAAAAATATTTGGTACTTTGGAATATGGAAGTGGAAACCTGGATTGGTCTGAATAATCATGACTGTGAAGAGTACATTTGGGCTGATTTTGAAGTAGGTTTGGGCAAATTTTAATTAGGAGATTGGAGACATTGACCTGGGTCATACAAAGGAAAAGTTGCATTCTGTGGTCTGGTAGATCATGCTCAATACCATGTTGTCTTTCCAGGCTCATGCATCTCTCTCAAGTCAGCAACATGGAGCCCAAATGTGGACTGAAACCTCCTCTTTTCATGAGTGCTCCAGTCAGTGACCATTGGCTGACCACAGTTTCTTCAGTAGATGAAGCTCACCAATATCCCTGCAAGATTTGCAGTTGGGAATAGATCCTTCTGGCATGCATACGGAAGATGAATTCCCTATGGGCCATAGGTGTATGACTGGCCTCAGTCTTAAAATACCATCTTCCCTTGGCATCTGGGGTTACAGAGATCAGCTATGCTGATAACCACAGATGGACAGCCACCCTGGAAGGAATTATAGCCCTAGTGGCCAGGTTTATTTTGTTCAATTCCTGAATGGTGCTTCCTATCGGATCAAGCTTAATCTGAAACTGTCGTGAGAATTTTGAGTCACCTGGGTGGATGACTTGTTTTTCTTGTTTGGGATCCAGAAGGGTCACCACTATTCCTTCACCAGATTATTGGGGCTGATATTTCACATTCAAGGCAGCTCAAGGGCAGAATTCAGTGAGATGATTACAAGGGAACCTCAGCTAACATATCAGAGACTCCTGGGACTTATACAAAAGCTTAAAATTCCACCCTGATGCTGTGGTTTCTTTTTGCACCACCACCGCACGCTCCCTCAGATACAGTGAGAACCATTTCCTCTTGGTGTTATTGCTTGGACAGGTTCCCTTTCCCTTTCACTGCAAGCTGAGGGCATGGAATAGAGATTACTTCATGCAGCCTTCTCACCTTACTTCTTTCCTCCCAAGGAGCCCAAGAAGAGACCAATGAAATCTGAGGAGATTTCTTGCTGTCCTAATGAGCAGAAAATGATGAGAAAATAATGAGGTTAGGAGATTAAACCGTTACCCTGCAGCTGTCACGGCTGGTGCTCAGCAAAGTCTGAAAGCTGGATAGAATGTTCTTGTTCCAGTAAATTCCTTCCTAACTTAGATTTTTTTTTTCCCCCTTTCTTAGTGGAACGTGTGCATTTAAACAACTTGATCTCTTCAGAGTAGGAGCTGTTGCTCATAGATCATTGGTTGCCATATAGCTTTAAAAGAGCCAGTCTTGGTAGCAAGAAAAACCTCTGGGTCTAAAACTCTTCCTCAAGTTTCAACTCCCATCCCTCTCTAACACATGTGTTCACACACACATGCTCAATTCTAGCTGCTTTGGGAAAATTTGCTTCTAGAATCAGAGAAAGAAACTGAAACACAAATAGAAGGAAACTGGACACATAAGAGTGGTGATGTGACAAGAGTAGAAAGGAAGGAGTAGTCAATGAATGGACTGCTACGTTTTCTAAGTAGAAAAACAAACAAAAACCACCAAAAATTAGATTTCTATTTCACCTTTTATACAAAGAAATAGCTAGAAGGATTAAAGACTCAAATGTAAAACACAGACCTGCAAACCTATTAAAAGAAAATATATGATAATCTCTTTATGTCCTTGGGGTAGGAAGAAATTTCTCAACAAGATGTACTATCAGAAAAGTTATAAATACAACTACATGAAAATGAAAATCTTTGACACATCAAAAGATATCATAATTAAGACATGAAACGATAAACCAAAGTATTGGAGGAAAAATCTTTGTACATACATGAGGCTAGTTCAAAAACAAAGTCACAGGAAAATGAACTTGAAAGTGTATAAAATTTATTTTGATGTAAAGTTTTTATAGTGAACAGAAAATGTGTATTTTGAAAAACTATGTATGGATTTCAAATTTTTGCCCCCAAATAAATGCAATTTTTAAAAGATGTACTTATTTTTGTTGGAAAACCAGATTTACAAAGAGAAGGAGAGACAGAGAAATATCTTCTGCCTGCTGGTTCACTCCCCAAGTAGACGCATCAGCCAAAGCTCAGCCAATCCAAAGGCAGGAGCTTCTTCCGGGTCCCCACATGGGTCCAGGGTTTAGCTATTCTTTACTTCTTTGCTGGGCCACAAGCAGAGAGCTGGATGGCAAACGAAGCAGCTGGGATATGAGCTAGAGACCATATGGCATCCTGTCACGTACAAGGGGAGGATTTAGCCAACAGGCCAACGAGTTGAGCCCTACGTGCATGTTTTTGCCCATTTCTTGTACTGGAGTGTGTGGTTTAAGTGCCAGCTCTGCTCTTATTTCAGCTTCCCTGGGAGGCAGCTGCTGACGGCTCTAATCATCAGGTCCCTGCCACTCACACAACGGTTTTGTTTGCAGCCCTGGGGAGCAAACCAACAGATGAGAGATCTCTATCTTTCTGCCTCTTAAATAGACAAAATTAATACATTTAAGAAAGTTATCAGATCTACAGAAAATAAATAAAATTATATCCTGATCTAGCACCCTATATGCATGTATTTCAGATAGACATGAGAAATTCCACAAAGTGGAATTTCACTCTAAAGGATTACTCAAAGGAAGTCAGGGTAATCACACTTCCCTGGGGACAGCTAGGGAAAGACATGAAAGGTGTGCTGAAACTTTGGGGAAAAGTTTCCTATCTCTAAGAAAAGGATCAAGGAAGACACAGTCCTTTCTGTTGCTCTGGTTTTCAATGAAACCTGTGTAATTAGTCTGAATCTGCTGCTGGATGAAGGGAGACTAAAAAGATAAACACCAACATTAAATGTTTAGTTCTATTTCATACTATAGTGCTTCAATCTTTTATAACGAGAATATTTTCATTAGCTAGTTACGGCAACTTAAAAAAAAAAAATCTAATTGCTTTATCTAATCCTTAAGACCTTAATTCTTTCCTTGTTTTCTTTGTTTACCTTTGCCTGGCATATCCTTCCCTATCCTTTAATTTTTAACCTTTCAGTGTGATTTTAAGGCATTTTCAGTAAGCAGTCATTGGATTGTTTGCTGTTTTTATTGCAGGGGAAAATCTTTGCCTATTATTAGAGGGGATTTAAAAGTGTTGACACTTGTTGAAATAAGGCTTTTATTTCATGTTACCTCTCTCATCTTGTTTTATGCCTGAATTTTCTTTGTTGTCTTTTGCTGTATGGATAGTATTTTTGTTTGCATTTATCTTTCTGGAGTGATTTGAAAACTGTACTCATGCTTTAAATTTTGTGAGTGGTAGTGGTGACTGAACTGTGAATGAATTATTATTTTATTTAAAAATTTTGATTTAAAATGTATTGATTTTATTTTCTTTTTTATGAGAGACAGATACAGACATACAGAAAATTTTGTGGGATAATTCATTGCCCAAATGCCCATACCATCCAGAGTTGAGCTAAGATAAAGCCAGGAGCTAAGAATTCAATCTAGGCATCCCAGGAGGGAGGCAGGAATCTAACCACTGAACCATCTTCTAGTACTCCCCAGGGTGCACATTTGCAGGAAGCTGGAATCTGAACTGGAGAGTCAACCTTAGCTGTCCAACATGGGATGAAGCCAAACCGAGTGGCAACTTCACACTACATGCTCACCCCTGACTTGATTCTCAAATGCAAGATTCAACTAGCAAAAGAACTGTGCAATTGTTCTAGGAAGCAAAGGTTTATTACAGGAGCTAAGGACTGGCACAGAAGAACAGAAATGGGAGGGCCAGCAGGTGCACCATCAAGATTTGAGCCTGAAATTCTGAACAAGTGATTGTGGAGACTTGCTCAGAAGGCACTGTGAAATTAATAATGGCCAATTTTCAGGCAGCAAAAGCTGTTACAGAGAGAAATGACTTCCCTTCCCAGACCTTTCCCCTGGGAAAAAAGCAACCCAGAACTGTATGGGAACATGCATCTGGGAAAGGTCTCCTGTGATCCAGGGTGGTCATAAGTTGATAGTAGGTAGCAGAAAAGCGTAACTTGTTTTGTTTAAAATGGACATTAACTTCTTACTCTTCTTTATATGGAATGAGAAATCAAATGTTCTTGCTTTCTCAGTTATCCATATTTCCAGTAATTTTGCCGAAACAACTTCAGATATACTATCCAATTTTAGTTTATTTTGTAATAATTCCTGGAGGGTTAAACAGTTGCCTGTGATGTTGGCATCTTGGATGAGTACCAGTTTAAATTCTGGCTGTTCCATTTCTGATCTGGTTTCCTGCTAATACGCAGGAAAAGTAATGGATTATGGCCTAAGTAAGTTCCAGGTTCCTAGTTGTGGCCTGACCAAGCCCTGTCCATTCTATCCATTTGTTCAGTGGATCCGCAGATGGAAGGTATCTCTCTCTCTCTCTGTAACTCTGCCTTTCAAATTAATAAAATTAAATTTAAAGAGTTAAGTAAACAATGGGATTTCCCCATTTGTACTGTAATCCTTCAAAATAAACTTCTTTTCTTCACAAGTAGCCTGCATTGTTACTTTGTTATAGTGATGGAGTGCTGACCAATTCACCCTCAGCACTGATCGAAAACATGAAGTAGAAAATTCTAGAAATGAGCAATGCACATGTTTTAAATTGTGCATCATTCTGAAAAGCATGGTAAAGCTTTGTACCATACTGCTTAAGATGAGCATCATTCTTTTGTCTGGTGTATCCGTGCTGTGCTAGATATTCTGCTTTTTTAGCTGTCTCAGTTACAGAGCGGTTGGATGGTGTCACAGTCCTCATGTTCAAGTAAACCTCATCTTAGTTGATAATGGCTCCAAAGCACAAAACGGTGCTGCAAGCAGCTCAGATATGCCAGAGGGAAGTCACAAACTTCTTTTTTTACATGAAAATGATACTTTGAGACATAGACCATGTTCATAATACCCATGATTTCAGGCATTCATTTGGAATAATTTCTAATGAAAAGGGGGAAACTACTGCTTATTTCTACTTCTTTCCTTCAACTTGCCTTATCATCTCACTTTGGACTCAATTCGTGGTACCCTGGCAGACAATTTGAGAGAACCTTCCCAAGGAGTATGTGAGCATACATCCTCTTAGTTCTTGCATTTCTAAACATGTCCTTCCATTATTAAGTCATGGAAATGAATAATGCTCCTGACCATAAAGGTCATGGCCTCATCTCTAGAGAGCTCGCTGCTCTTTCTTCTCACTTCTTGTTTATCATTCATTGTTAAGAAAGAAAGGACTAGAGAATGCCCATCTTCAGTTTTTGTTTTGTCAATAGAATATGCACTCAATTAGATTGATTTTGTTTGTAGCCAAGAATATTTTCATTTCTTATTGCCTTACTCTTTTTCCTTTTGCAGTAATAAAATATTCTTATCTCTATTTTCATATTAGTTTATTTTCCCTAATCTATACCTATATTTTTTGTTTTCTAGTACATTTTCTCCAGTTTATCCTTTCATTAATGCTTATGCAACTATAGTTATACTTTGGGGGAAGAAAAAATAAATAAACTTCAGAATGTTGACACGTTTTTTCCTATTATTTTGAGTCCAAGTTTATTTTCATAAGCCTGTGTTAATTCTCCTCTCTTTGCTCAAGCTTTTAAAGTGAATTTTGTTCAGACTAGGACTGCAGACATAGGTATAATTCACCCGGTTGCATGAAGAAAAAGAGAGAGGCTAGTACATTTTCTGTTGAATAAATGAGCAGATGCTGGACAAGCACTGTTCTGGCATCTGTATATTTGTCTTACCATAAGCAGTCTTGGACACTGTTGTAGATGGATGCTGAGGGCAAAGACTTACAGTGAGATAATTATTTCTTAAATACTCTTGACTAAAATGGTGTTTTCTGTCCTGGAATAGAAATTAGAATATCTTGAGAGATTGGAGCTGGATGACCACAATAGCCTGCAGTGAGACATTGCCAAAAGAATTCAGAGCTGACTGCTCTTTCTTCCAGGTCTAACTAACGTCAATTCAGACCCACTGATGCAGAGATCAGTTCATTTTCTCCAGAATCTGAAGAACATTTGTATCTTACTCACGTGCAGGCAACACAGACTGGAGTAGTATAATGTCTAAATTCTAGGGTCAAATGTGATAAAGATGGAATTACCCTGAAAGCGATGTATGGCCATTTGTTCATGCTCCTAGACATATGAAAAAAAAGACAAAACAGGATTACAAATAAAAAAGGAATCATTTCCAGGCAGGGACTGAGCCAAGAAAGGTCCTCCCCCTTACCCAGAGCACCTTTCAGCCTTGGCGTCCTGTCCCTTGAATCAGAGGCATTGTCTGGCTCAAATGCAAACACTGGCTCCATTGTGACTCTGCAGGGACCAGCCCCACACGCACTGTTTTCTGCCTGCCTGGGGCTTCTTTGAGCTTATCCCGTTGAGCTGTGACTTAGGCAGCCAGCCAGAAGGGCTTCTATCCAGGGTGGTGCCAGAAGAGTTATGCTGATTTATTACACAAGAGCTGCCAGGTGAAACCCTTTGCTGTCCCATGGGAAATGTCAAGTCAGGGGCAAAGTTTGGGTGCTTCCTGTTTGAATTCAGAGGTTTGGGTCAGAGTAGATGGTAGCAGGAGCTTTCCTTATTTATAGTACTCTGAGGATACTTGAACCTTAAAACTCTATGTGAAGTCCTAGAAAATTTTAGATTCTGCAAGTATCCAAAGGAGTTCTCACGAAGTCCAGGGGATAGGGCAGTGCAGTCAGAAGTCAATGAAGTCATAGACACAGGGTGATACTTCTAAAACTTACTATGCATTAGATTTATCTATATAGCTTATTAGCATGCAGGGTTTTAAGCTACATTCTTTGGTGTTCTGATCCACAGGTATGGAATGGGGACTAGGAATTTGCATTTTTATTAGCACTCCAAACTAAGTGTATCAAGAAGCTTACATAATAAATCTCACTTGGGAATGGGGAGAGTAGAAGGGGAAATCTCTGAGCCTCTGGAACTGTATCATGAGAAGTTTTAAAAATTAACAAAAATAAGCACCCTAACAAAACACTGATTTATGCAGCTGTTGGAGCTCTGGGGGTGTGGGATCTGGTGGGGCTCGGATCGCCTGGCTCAGGTCCTTGGCTCTCACCCCTGTGAGAGGGGTGCTGGGTTAGTAAGCTCCAGGGAGCGGGGGATCTGGTGGGGCTTTGGTTACCTGGCCCAGGTCCTTGGGCTTACCTGAAAAATTATGTCCTCCTCAGCGAAAAAGGCAGAGCAGTGGGCACAGACCTTAATGCACATGGAGAATATGGGCAGACCATTTGGTACTATAGCAGAAGAAGAACAGAGCAAATTGGATAACTACCCCAGCCAAACAATGATAGCAAAAATATGGGTGATTAGAGACTTGAGGTTGACTATGTCAACCAATGGACATTGGGAGGGTTACGTCATTCTTGGATTGGCAAAATCGGTAGCATTTCAGAACTGTCTAAACCACTTGGGCAGAACCCTCAAAACATGCACACAACAGGACCCTGGGTTGATATCAGGTGGTTGTTCCCTTCCTTGGGTACTGGGACATTTGGGAAGCTGGGTGTGGCTTCTCCCTTTATCTCTTCCCTTCCCCCAGAAACAAGAAGAAGAAATAACAAATTTGGAAACAATGATCCCATCTACTTTTCCCCCAATCCTTCCCATTCTGGTCAACCATGTAATCATCATGAAGAATTTTAAAAAATTAAAAATATATGCTCCAACAAAAACACTGATTTATGCAGCTGTTGGCAAAGCATTTAGGTCCATTTTTTTTTCTTGATATTTGGGCCAAGAAATGACTTTTCAGAAACAAGAAGTGGATGCCTGCAATCATTCTCTTGGTACTGGCTGAACATAACCTTGTATATAGCAGGACTTCCTCAGCAACCAAGGCTTCCAATGCAAGTTGTATGCATTGTTGCTAGACTAAGTGGTGAGAGTCCAAGGACAGTAGCAAGTAAGGACAGGAAACCTGCCTTCTATGTGGGCCAGAGAGATGAGCTCAGTTGGGAAGTCCCAGTGACAGTGACAGGGAACACTGTGATATCAGCTAATATCTATCTGACCACTCTCCCTCCAAAGGAAACTGCTCCACCCATGGCTAATGATTTCCAGGTGGCCATACTAAGTACCATATCAAGATCCTTCCCCACTCACAGCTAAACAGACCGAGAAAAACAGGCCAAAAATGGACCAGACTGAGGCAGCCAACTGTACACTGATACAGAATGTGAACTGCCAAGAAGAGATGAACCAGCACCCATATGGGATGCTGATGCTTTTGCAAGGAGAGGATTAGCCTGGTGAGCCACAGTGACAGCCCCTCTCAGGGTCATGTGTTCATGGTGCTAACAAGGTGGGGACTTGTTCTGATTGTGGTGTTTAAAATGTGTGCCTTATGGAAGGTCTTAGCTGCCTAGTGACGTGTCCTTGGAAGGTAGCTCCCATGAAAGGTTGGTTATGTGAGCCTGGGATGGACCTAGCCATTGTCTCTCTGTCTCCTGTATCTACAGTGCTCCTCCCTCTATACGTGCTCTGTTATTGCCATCTTCCAGTATCAACAAATGCTTGAGTCCCTGGGGCCAGCCGATCTCCAAAAGCATGAACCAAAATAAACCTCTTCTTTTCATTAGTAGTTTGGCTTAGATATTCATTACAGTAATGGAAAGATAATGTAAATAGTTCAGATAAAATATAATATTAGCATTTATTTCACCTCTCTTTTTACTGATAGGATGTAGCTATTAGAAAATTTAAAATTATATACTTGACTCTATTTGTGATTTACATGTGTTTCTTTCAGACAGTGCTAGTCTAGTCTATTGGTTAATGAGACAAAAAAGACACGAAAGGAAGAATAAGTTTCAGTTGATGAGGTCATGCTTACCACTAGTCCTCATGTTGGGAAGCAATTTTAATATTGACCAACCACATGTGATAATCCAGCAATACAGCTGTTATCATTCTTCCACTCCCAACGTAAGCATGTTTCTGCACCCATCACAAGCCCTTTTTCCTGAATCTGGGTTAGTGTTGGAACCCACTGTGACCCATAGTGATGGTGAAGAGGTTCCTTTGCCAGTTTGCAGTGTAGCCTGCAGAAGTCCAGGCTACTTCCCCTTTTGCTCTTAAATACCAACACTCAGGCTGTAAAGCTCTCCTGAATGGAGAGAAAGAGAAACCATGTGGAGAAACACCTGAGTCCTAGACATCTGATGGAGGCTGCTTTAAACTGTCCCGCACAGCCCAGCCAGTGATGCAACCTAGTAAGTGGCCCTAGCAAGTGCCAGGCGAATCAGACGGATTGCTCAAACACAGTCCAAACTTCAGAACAATGAGGAATTATAAATGACTGTCTCTTCAAGCTGCTCAGTTTTGAACTGCTCTGTTACACAGCAAGAGAGAATTCAAGTGTACCTTCTGTAGGCAGAAGCCTGTAATGGACCATGAAAGGAAGACACGATCAAGAATACATCCTATGGAGAACACTTAAACAACTCAAAATCTGCATACCATATGACCCAGCAACAGCACTCCTAGGAATAAACCCAAAACACCTGTTTCATGAGAAACCAACATGCACCCCTATGTTCATAGCAGCACAATCAGTAATTGCAAAAACATGGAAGCAACCAAAATGCCCATCAGCAGAAGATTGGATAAGAAAGCTATGGTTTATCTACTCCATGGAATACTACTCAGGTGTTAAAAAAAAATAAAATGCAGCTCTTTGTGGCTAAATGGGTCCAGCTGGAAACCATAATGCTAAGGGAAATGAGCCAATCCCAAAAGGTTAAATGACACATGTTTGCCTTAATTTAAGGTGAAATGATGTCAGTATGAAAAATACTACCTATAAAATGTAAATTTTTTTAACATATTGGTTACTCAATACTATGTCCGCTAATTCCATGATGTTGTGGATTGTTGCGGATGTTATGTGGGAGCTTTTGATTGATCGGGCTGACACTCTGCCGGCTCTACCTTCAGACCAGAGATGGTCTCCACAAGAAGCCATTGAACTTATCTGGACAATAAGATGCTGGACTCTATGCTTGGTATATGCTTGCAATGAAAGAACCTCAACTGAACTTGAACTGTGGCAATGCAGCAAGGTGGAGGAATCCACTATGGGGGGGAGGGGTAGGGGAGGGGTAAGGGGAATACAATGCCTAAAAAATGGTGTCACATAATGCAATGTAATAATAATAAAAAAAAGAATACATCCTGTCCTCAGTAACCTTTGACTCTCAAGATGGAAATGACACACATGTATGAAAATTACTTTTACATGGGGCATTGGAGTCCAAGGTAGGTATTTTAAGTTCAACACTATGGTGGTTGCTGAGGAGTCTGACACAGGACTTCATAGTCTGTAATACTTGAGATCTTCTCAAGCATTAATTAAGTTTCCACTGCTGGTTTATAGGCACTCCACAGATTCAGACCTGGCCTGGTTGGTCCAAGGCCTTGAGACCCAGTACCCCCATGGGAGACCTGAAAGAAGCTCCTGACTCCTGACTTTGGGTTGGCTCAGCTGTGGCCATTGCAGCCACATGGGGAGTGAACCCACAGAAGAAAGATCTTTCTCATTTCCTTCTCTTTGTAAATCTGCCTTTTCAGTAAAAATAAATAAATTTTTTTAAAAAGTAAATAAAATCAAAATTTTTATTCTCAATCAGGGCAAACTCCTAGACATCTTCCAAACTGCAGTAAATAAGTGCCTGGGGATAGCAACCACTTTTATTTCCAAGAATGGGACCCAACCCCCTTCCCTCTTTCCTTCTGACTCTGTATGGAGGGTTCTCTGGGCTGTCCCACATTTAGCTCAAAGGTGCCATTCTGGCACAACAATAGGTCACAATGTATAAGCAATGTTTCAGTGCAGTCATTTGCATCCCTGCAGCCTTCTTGCCTGGGTGACACCCACCCACTTCATTAGACATTTGCCCCATGCAAATTCAGAGTCCCTCATTTGCATTTTCCCAGAATATTGAGAAGCTTATGTACTGTTGAAATACAATGGCAAAACACTGAGTAATTCAGCCAGAAAGCTATCCCTTAAAGGCTTGAACTCAGAGTATTTCTGAGAGGTCTAAACCCATCAGCACTGGAAGTGTAGGCTACCACTGGAAACAGAGGCAGAGCAAGAAAACTAAGGGACACTCAACCGTGACCAGTGTAGGCCCTTGGACAATTCTCAGGACTCCAACAGTAGCCACAGGAGAAAGTTTTAGTAGTCTAAACTCAAACCACAGGGTCTGTATTGAAACAAAGAAGGTTAAGCCTCCACCTACAGCTCCAGCATCCCATATGGACACATTTGAGGTCCAGCTGCTCCACTTCCAATCCAGCTCCCTGCAAGTATACCTTGGAAGGCAGTGGAGAATGGTCCAAGTACTTGGCCCCTGTACCCAGATGAGAGAAACAAAAGAAACTCTTGGCCTTTGGCCTGGGACACTGTGGCCATCTGGAGAGTGAACCAGAGGATGGAAGACTTCTTTCTCTCTCTACTTCTACCTCTTTCTCTCTGTAACTGCCTTTTAAATAAATAAACTTTATGGGGGAAAAAAACCCACAAAGCCAAGTCACTGTTTTAACTTCTGAGTTCAGTGAGTGCATAAGACAAAGACCACTAATAACCAAATTATTCTTCAGCATCATATAATACGTGCAAGTAGTTCAGACCATGTATACTTACAAGCCTGGACAGTAATTTTGCCAACCACCAGTATCCTTTGCAGTGTCTTTTAAAAGAAACTAGGAAGTGTATGAATTTCCCTGCATTCTATGAGTCATTCCAGCAAATTAACCAAATCCCAGAAGAGGTTGTGGGAACCATGATTTATACTTAGTTGCTCAAAAGCACATATGCAGCACCCTGGAGTTTGCAAGTGACATCAGCTGAGCCTCCAGTCTGTGGAGTGTAACTCTGCAGGTATATAGTGTCAAATTGAACTGAATTGGAAAACGTCTTGCAGATGTAAACACTATAGATGTTTGGTTTCAGAAATCCACTCTGATTATTGAGTAGAAAAAACTGACTTTCTCAGTTTTCATGTATTCATCAGAGTACTTAACCTACCTCTTGTTATGCATAAGTTTCTTCAGCTTAGTATAGAAATAAAAAGCTTGGAATCAGTTGCAGACAGAGAAGTTTTAATTGTGAAGTGAACAGGTGAATAGGAAAAGAGAGAAAGGAAAAGCACCTCCCGAGAGAGGGGAGAGCCAGGAGATGGGGTACTCTGCCATTCTCTCTCTCTCTCCACATACATACATACATACATACATACATATAATATATACATACATGTATACATATGTATATATGCATATGTATGTACATGATGTTTACAAAATTGATCATGGTGGGAAGCATTTAGGGTTAGGGAAAAGTGGGTGTGATCATTGTTTCCAAATTCTCTATTTCTTCTTATTTTTTTTTTTTTGAGGGAAAAGAGGAAGATAAGGGGAGAAGCT